TGACAAGGGATGAATTTCCCTTACACAATAATTTAACTAAAGACTATCACATTAACAGACGTCAGCCGCGGTCTGCGCCATAGAATTTTCATATTCGTGTTGCCTCCGGAGAAAATCGATTAGTCTCAATAAAAGTCAATTGCTTCATACGAAAGTTAATGTCAATCTAACAAGAGTTGCCAGTTGACAATAATATAGTTAATATGCTCCAAAACACAAAGAATTGAAAATGTAGTCTGAGTACCTAAGCCGTTAGGTGGAATACCGACCTTCCGAGCGTTGTCTGAAATGAGCAATGCCACTATAGAAGTCTGACACAACCTACCTAATTGAACATTTTACGTGCTCTGCTCCAGCAACTAATTTCATTCACCGAACACAAGAGAGCAACTATATGAAGTAAGAACCGCATAACACGGATTATGTTCTTATATCATTAGTCTGCTTAAATCGCAAGTTCACAAGGAATTTAAAAGCAAAGAAAACGCCAAGAAAATTCACCATATCGAATCCCCCTAGGACTAAGTTGTTCATAACTAGTCCTGTTTATTTCGATATAATGTTAGGTCTTGTTTAGGTTTTATGTCTGTCTTTGAATTTTGACTTTTAAAGTGATTTTATTCATTTTAGTTTAGTCGAACTGATGATGGAGCTGGACTCCGAAACGTTTTCAATGTCGATATGGTGAATTTTATTGGCGTTTTCTTTGCTTTTATATTCCTTGTGAACGGATTATGTTCTGTCACTAATGTCGTTTGCACCAATGAATGAAATTTCTTCGAACAGTTTTGACTCGTGAGGGACTGAGGTCCTTGGACATAAAGCCAGCCATGACACTAGCACAGCTATGAGTCATGCTTATTACGCAAAAATAAAACCATCATAATTCACTGGTTAAAATGATTTTTGTCCAACACCTGACAGAAAAAGTAACGATAACACACCCAGATGCAAGTTTACTTTCTCATCTCTTTTAAAATCCCAATTTTCATCACAAATCTAAATATATCTTATAAATGACATCAACTACGCTGTCACGCGGAACACTGGTGAGTGTTGACTGGTTGGAACTTGGTAAGTTGGTACTGGTAGTTGGCTGCCCTGTCGCTCAGTTGCTGCTGGTGCTGCAGCTGCAACAGAGCGCTGCAGTGCATTCGAACGGAATTTGAAGCTTTGATACACGTTTATCGAACAAGGAACGTGATTTAAGTCGCACTAAGTCGTTACATTTATTCGCCCGTAGTCGCTATCATATTGTTTTAGAATTCCATGTCAGACTGCAGTAACAATTTTGTGAACCGTTCCATAATATCACGTTGACATGTGAACATTTCAATTTTGCAGACCTTGTTTGGACTACAGAAGGTACATTGTAATGTACAATGCCTGCCACCAGGCAGTGCACAGCCATCACTATATTAAACAAGGCCATTTCAATATCATTGTAAACTGAATATTAATATAAATTTGTTGGCCCTAATGTAAAACCGAACGTTCATCTATTAATGGTTTTGCCAATAATATATCAGTCATTTTATTTTATGATACGACTTTGAAATTTTCTCATGGAGCTAGAGGGATTTATTTTTGCTGCCACGTAATCATTATCAAGTTTGTCAATGATTTTCGTCACGTACGTTTTGGAATTACTGGTTGACTGCCACATAAGCTGAAAAAATTATAAATTCAATTCTCATTTTGTTCCATCGTATGACTCAACAAACGTACGCGTGAACATACATCAACGCCATACCATGTGCGAGAGATGGTCATGGTTTGCTCAAATAACAGCGTCTGACCACAGAAGCCTGGCCAGCTGCTTTATCGGTCTGATTTCGTATATTCGGCCTATCGGGCAATTGAATCCCGCAATCTGCTCTTGAATAGCCGCTGAATGCTGTTAGGTGGCCGATAGGCGCCTGAGTCACCTCCAGGCCGACTGTGTGTACTCTGAGGCGGGCGCTAAAGGAACGTAAAATTCGACTGGATACCATCTTTTATGTTTCTATTTTTTGTATCTTAGTGGAAACTGACACTTTTCTATTGTGTTAAAGTGCCTACACAGACCATTGCTAGCAGCAAGCTTGATGTTTTCTGTCCTAGAATTGGAGGTATGGCGCACCATTGATCCCCCGAGGCCGCAAACGTGGACACCGCCGGCAGCCAGGAGCGACTTTTAACATTTTATTGTGAGAAATTTTGCCTAATTATTTATATCTAACGACTTCCAAGCTGCAATATATTTTAGTGCTGCTGTTTTTTACTTATTTATTTGAACAACAAAGACCATTCAAGGTTAAGACAACCAATCAAGCACGAAAAGATCGATTATTATACTTTAGATATCTCCATCCATTGTAAGTTACTCCTTAGAATTTACTTTCGGTTAAGTTATTATTTTATTGAATCAATAAAATTCCTAGAACTATTTTATTGCAATTTTGGGTTATTTTTCAGGAGTTAGTCATGCACTTGCCGGGGACGCTCGTCGTTTTCGGCAAAAAGCGGGCATGGCGATACACTTGAGAAACACATGCCAGCAAAAGAAAAGCTAGTTGGGAATTCACTGAACATAGAGCAAGTGCATAAACTCCTGATACTGCAGCTTCTCCAAATGAAGACGCCTACAGCTCATACAGAAAGTGAAGCAGAAATAGTACCGGCCTCCACCAAATAACCTCGACCGAAATAGAATGTGGGGTTTGCACTATTTGTCTGTGTGTAGGTGGGTGGTCGCGCAGGTAGTGGCATGGGTGTTCTGTGTTGTTTGTGGCCGCAACTATGAACTGTGTTCCTCTCATGTCGTGGTGTGCTTTTATGGGAAGTATTTTTGTTTCGGCATGAAGGTGTTAGATGGCGGTGCTTTGTGTGCAGCCTGTGACTATCCTGAGTGTTTTGTTTTGTAGTGTTTGGAGTTTCTGTATGTTTGTGTTGGATAGTGCGGGCGCCCAGGCGGGGCTGGCATATGCCATCACTGTTCTGATGAATTGTTTGTACGTGGATGCTGGTGTTTCTTTGTCTTTGCCAAATTTGGTACCGCCTAGGGACCTGTCATAATAAAGAACTAGTACGACACGTCGTGTAGCAAGTTGTAATGCGGTTGGGCTCCGACTAGTGTTGTCAGTCTCTATGCAATAGCCAGTACGAACGGGCCTGACTCCTGCTGTTCTATGATGTAAGTGCAACGTTCCTTACCTTTACGAATCTTACTTAACTGTTATATATTTCCTCTGTTACTGTTATGTTATATTGTTCCGTGTTGCGTTTATAAGTATTTTACATTAGTTGTGTTTCCAGGTAGCTGGGCATTTGTTCAGTAAAGCTTGGATTGCCCAAGTTTACTCGATCCTTCATCCCTCAACAGGACCGAAGTGAGTTTTATTAGTCTGATGTTTGCGTTGTTCACTATGTTGTTGATGTGAGTGCCAAATGTCATGGAGGTGTTGTAGGTGATCCCTAATATTTTTGTTTCGAGTGTGTGTGAAATAAAGTAGACTTGATATGATAGCGAAAACAGAATTGTGCTTTCGATCTGTTAACATGATTTTTACGATACTTGCATCTCTGTTAGATGCTCCGACTGGTAAAAGTATAAACGGATACAACAGTTTGGGTTTCTACACATCCCGAGGCCGCTTGTAGCGATAGAGCGAACTTAAAAAGTGGACACTTCGATCGTTGATGTTGCGGAGATGTTAGGGTACGCACACAGTGAAAGCAGGTTAGCCCGCTCGGGCAACCTGCTCCAACCTGCCACAAGAATGAACATAGGATAAAAATGTAAGTGTTCACAGTGAAAACCTGTACGAATAGGCTTCTGTATTCTATGGTTTCACGCGCCAGCCTGAGCAGGTAACCAGCACGCTGGCAACCTGCTTTCACTGTGTGCGTACCCTTACGCGGGTGTCTCGTCAACGCATCTCGGACTTAATCTACCCTAATACATCCGCGAAACGCCTTGCCTTTTTGGCTGACTAAACAGATTATAACAGGCACAGAACAGGCACAGAACTGACTGAGCAGGCACAGAACATACAGAGCAGGCACAGATCATACAGAGCAGGCACAGAACACACAGAGCAGGCTCAGATCATACAGAGCAGGCACAGAACATACAGAGCAGGCACCGATCATACAGAGCAGGCACAGAACATACAGAGCAGGCACAGAACATACAGAGCAGGCACAGAACATACAGAGCAGGCACAGATCATAAAGAACAGGCACAGATCATACAGAGCAGGCACAGATCATGCAGAGCAGGCACAGATCACAAAGAGCAGGCACAGATCATACAGAGCCGGCACAGATCATACAGAGCAGGCACAGAACATACAGAGCAGGCACAGATCATACAGAGCAGGCACAGATCATACAGAGCAGGCACAGATCATACAGAGCAGGCACAGAT